CTAGTTGTAGAACTTCCACTCAGCCAGCCTTCCTGTGGCTCTGGATGATGTCCGTTCCGTCTTTTAGTTGTATTTTTGAAGTGGTTGTTTGAGGCAGCAAACTCCGGTGTTTACCTATGCCACCATCTTGGTTTCTCTCACTATTTGACTCTTTATAGGAAAAGATTGCCAACCCCTGCCCTAGGAACCACTCCTAAGCTCAGAACCAAAGCCTAATCACTCTCCACCTTGTCACCCTCCACCGGGTCCCCTCATTTATTCTCCGCTTTGGCACCTGCCCCTGGTCTCCCTTTCCACCCCAGGTCCTGTCATCACCCGGATGCTCACACAGCCACCGTCCCACACCTGGGCTCCTCGGCCCTCGGCTTCCTCTTATCCAATGAGCTCCTCCGTGTCCCTTGGCCACTCATTCCCAAGGGTGACTTGGGACTTGCTTTCACCGCAAACCTGCTCAATACCTGCCCAGCACTCCTCTCTGCTGACCACATCCCACCCTTCCAGGTGGCACTTCAACTCTAGTCACCAGCACTTTTTTAAACCTTTGACCCCTCAATTCACTTTACAGCTACTTTCTCCTGTTGCTCCCCTGCTTCTCATTCCCCCACTACCCAGTTAGTGTATGAGGTCCTTTGAGGCAATAACACCTCGTCAAAACCCCAACCTCGCATCCTGTTTCCTTGTTTCCCCTTCTCTCTACTCTCTACCAGAAGTGCAGCCCCCGGTTGTTTAGAGCTACTAGGGACCATCACCAACGAGACTGCAGGAAAACCCAGGCTTGAAGGAGTCTTGCCTCGGCTGTTGCAGGTGTAAAGAAACATGCTTTGAAGGGGCAAATAATAATATGAGTAAATAGTAATCAAAACAGCATGGTACTGGCATAAAAACGTAGAGATCAATGGAACAGAATAGAGAGCCTAGAAACAAACCCAGGCCTGTACTGTCAATATTTGACAAAGGAGGCAAAAACATACAATGGAGTAAAGACAGTCTCTTCAATAAATGGTGTTGGGAAAATTGAACAAACACATGCAAAAAAAATGAAACTAGGCCACCTATTCTTAACCATAAATAAGAATAAACTCAAAATTGATTAAAGGTGGCCTGCCCTGTTTGCTCAGTTGTTAGAGCATTGGCCCACGCACCAAAAGGTTGTGGGCTCAATTCCCAGTCAAGGGCATGGCTATGGGTTGAAGGTTTGATCCCCAGTTCTGGTCAGGGCATTTGCAGGAGGCAACCAATCGATGTTTCTCTCTCACATTGATGGTTCTTTCTCGCTCTCACTCTCTCTTCCCCCCTCTTCCACTCTCTCTAAAACTCAATGGAAAAAAATATCCTTGGGTGTGGATTAACAAAACAACAACAAAAAATGGGTTCAAGACTTAAATGTTGGACTCAAAACCATAAAGTCCTAGGAGAAAACATAGGCAGTAAATTTCTATAGTGATATTTTTTCTGATATATCTCATTGGGCAAGAGAAACAAAAGAAAAAAAATAAACAAATGGGACTACATAAAACAAAGTTTTTGCACAGCAAAGGAAACCATCAAGAACATAAAAAGATAACCCAATGAATGAGATAAGACATTCACCAATACATCTGATAAGGGGTTACTATCCAAAATTTATAAAGAACGTATAAAACTCAACACCAAAAGAACAAACAATCCAATTAAAAAATGGGCAAAGAGCTTCAGTTTGGCTCAGTGGCTTGAGTGTTGGCCTGTGGACTAGGGAGTCCTGGGTTTGATTCCAGTCAAGGGCACATGCCTGGGTTGCGGGCTCAATCCCCAGAAGGGGGCATGTAGAAGGCAGCTGATCAATGATTCTCTCCCATCATTGATGTTTCTCTCTCTTCCTTCTTCTCTAAAATAAATAAAAATATATATTTTTTAAAAGATGGGCAAAGAACCTGAACAAATACTTCTCAAAAGAGGACATACAGAAGGCCAATAGACATATGAAAAGATGCTCAACATTACTAATCATCAGAGAGATGCAAATTAAAGCTATGAGCTATCACCTCACATCTTTCACAATGGCTGTCATCAATAAATCAAGTGTTGGCGAGGATGCAGAGAAAAGGAAACCCTCCTGCACTCTTGATGGGAATGCAGACTGGTGCCGCCATTGTCGAAAGCAGCCTATATCGAAAGACTATGTGCAGCCCTATGTTCATTTAGCGTTATTTACAAAAGCCAAGATTTGGAAGCAGATAAAAAAGTGGTGGTGTATTTACACAATGGAATACGACTCAGCTATAAAACAGAAGGAAATCTTACCCTTTGCGACAGTATGGATGAGCCTGGAGAGCACTGTGCTGAGTGAAATAAGCCAGTCAGAGAAAGACAAGTCCTGTATGACCTCACTCATATGTGGAATCTAGTGAACAAACTGAACTAACAAGCAAAACAGAGACAGACTCGTAGATAGAGAGCAGGCTGACAGCGGACGGGTGGGGTTGGGGGAGTGGGTGGGGGATGAGGGTGGAGGGATTGAGCAAAAAACGAGAAGAAATCATGGACATGGACAACAGTGTGGTGATTGATGAGGGAAGTGGGAGTAGGGGAAGGTGAGAGGGGGAGGGTATGGGGAGGCGAATGGGGAGGGAAGGAGACTTGGTGGGGGTGGTGAACACACAGTACAGTGTACGGATGATGTGCTGTAGAATTGTGCACCTGAAATCTGTAATTTTGTTAACCAGTGTCACCCTGATAAATTCACTAAAAAGGAGAAAACATAACAAACAGAAGATTTAAAAAAATAGTATGAATGAGTTTGGGAATAACAGAATGGAGGCTTTTGTGAGTCATGGAATACAAAGTTTGAAGGATATAAATCAGAAAAAAGGAACTACAGACAGACCATCATGGGGAGGGCGCTGTCTCCTCATCAGGGAGCAGCGTCCCACCGAGACCCAGCTTTCATTCCCTTGTCTCTTTTCTTAATCCTTTCATCACCCCCACTCAGGATCACCCTTGGCTGTGCTGGCGCGGCACACTAAAATATATGATGTTGGATATTGACTTAATATTTACTACGTGATTTTGTAAACTTAGTTGTTTTAATCAGAGGGCGGTATTAGATTTTTGTCATTTATTGAGAGGGCACTTTTTTTTTCTTTTT